GGATGGATGGATGGATGGATGGATGGATGGATGGATGGATGGATGGATGGATGGATGGATGGATGGATGGATGGATGGATGGATGGATGGATGGATGGATGGATGGATGGATGGATGGATGGATGGATGGATGGATGGATGGATGGATGGATGGATGGATGGATGGATGGATGGATGGATGAATGAATCACTGGTTGAATTTGCAGAGACGCAGAGTTACAAGAAGCTGCTGTTTCCTGCAGGGGGAGCCCAGTTTCACATACACTGGATTCCAGCCTCTGGCACTGGATGCTGCAGGAGGTTATTCACACAGCCTCTAAAGCTCCACACTTCACGTCACTGCGCTCAGACAGTGGAGCTCCAGGAACGCTCGCTGTGAAGAGGTCAGCCGCCTGTTGCATGCCGTGATGGCACTTCACCGCACACTCCTCCTCTTATCTGGTAAGTTGAATATTTCACTTTTGAAGTTGCACCTCAGCCTGTGGGGCACTGAAAGTAGACTGGAAAAGTTATTTATAGAGCAATCAGAGCTTTGAGTCATGTTTATACACAGTGAATGATAGCAAGTGTTTTTGCCCCACAATTTTATGAGCTTTTGCAGCATTTTAGGAGGAATTTTGTTATGAAAAGTCAGTCATCAGAATAAGTTACCTGTATTTAAAGGAAGTCTCTGTGGAGCTCAGTGGAGCATTTCTCAGAAGCTACTACCATTTAAATGTTCCTTAAGTTGTCTTTAATGTTGTATTCACCTATGCATAAAACCATATATAATATTATTTTAGCTGTGACGGTGTGACACAGAGAGGGAGTCAAGTTCGTTCCTCCTCTTCTCTTGTTTATGTCTCTTTGCAGTGGCTGTGGTTTCTGTGGCAGCACATGGGTCCCAGCGGAGAAAAAGAGGACTGCTTGAGCTTGCAGGAGCCATCCAGTGCAGCACAGGGAGATCCGCTTTGTCCTATATGATGTACGGATGTTACTGTGGGCTGGGGGGTCAAGGCTGGCCCAGAGACAGGGCAGACTGGTGAGGCCGCCACCAAAATCACAGTTCTATAGCACAAAAAACAGTGAATTCTGCTTTTAAGTTTTATTGCTCCACCTTGAAACCTGATTATAGAGAGCGTCAAAACTGCAGGTAATCAGCAGCTTTTATTAGCTAACCATGAATTATCGCTCAAATGATATCATTCAGTGTTTTGGTTTCTCCACTCCCAAGATGGTATTATTTCCTCCATCTTTATTGTTGTTTTTCTCTCGCCCCAGTCATCTTATGTATGCACAGTTTCCATTTTTGTCAACGCCTCAGCCATAAAAACCAGTCAATGGGCTGGAATGGCCCAAATTCAGAAGACTCGCTGTGTCCCCGAAGAGCTTTAAAATAGTTTTACAACTCCACACCCAAATCCTAATTACTGTCTCCTTGTTTTTCGTTTTTGCCACCAGACGTCTCACCCACTTAAATCCAGCTGAGTACAAATTATCTGTTGTGAAAACCCAAAGTGGTGATGGTGCCCTAACTTTAAAATAACTGTGGTGTCCCATAACCGCCCACCTACGCTTCCTTTGACCCGGGTGTCGCTCGGCGGGGCTCAGAATTCAAAATAATCCTCTTTGCTGCTCGTTTCCCTGCAGGTGCTGCCACAAGCACGACTGCTGTTACGGAGACGCAGAACTTCTGAACTGCAAGACGAAAACCCACCGCTACGATTGGACGTGTGAGGACAGCAAAGCTGAGTGCGGTATGGAAATTAGAATTTTATTTTTCTGTTTGATGCTTTGAAAATTAATTCAGGATTCATCTTTTTTTTTGTTGTTTTAAATTGCATGTAAATTTTTGCTTTACTATGTTAGGAGCCAACAAATTAGCATAAACTACAGCAGTGACAAGGAAAACAAACAAAAACAGGTTCATGAAAATGTTTTAAAATTTTCTAATTTTAACATCCCCCCCCCCCCCTAAATTTGGACATCTCAGTGAAAACTCTTTGATAAACTAAACTATAGATTGTTTGCAAAAATGCTGGAAAAACTAATTTGCTAAAAACAAAACAAAACTGAAAGTGTGTTAAAGCTTAAAAAGCAGAAACCCACAAACTAAAAGGTAAAAGAGGCAAATTACCAACTAAGGTCCAGAATTAGCCAAAGAAAAGTTAAAAGTTGATAAAGGGCAAGCTAAAAGAAGCAAAGGATGAGCTAAAATTGCTAAATAGTAGCAGAAAAGGGCTGATAGCTCAGCTAAAAGCCAAAAGCAGCAAAAGGCTAGTTATGGCAAAAAGACAAGCTAAAGGTATAGAACAATAGAGGAAATAGAAGTACTTTTACTGAAAAAAACACAAAAAAATAAGGCATGAATTCTGTATTTGCACAAACATGAAATCTTGTTTTTCAGTTTGTTAATGACAGAAGTCTGTTTTTCTTCCAGAGGATTTGGAGGACAAATGTGAAAAGTTTCTCTGCAAGTGTGACCGTGAAGCAGCCAAGTGTTTAAGGAAAGCGCCTTACATCCAGAAATACGCCTTGTGGCCCGACTTCATGTGTGGTTCAGAGCATCCAACGTGTAATATGTACTGAAACAAACAAAAGCCCTTTTTATTCCTTCTGTGCCTTTTGTGGTCGTAAATCAACGCTGTCGTTGTTACAAACACAAAAATGTAGCCGGGTTAGTTAATCAGCTGTATAGTGATTTTGAGGTATTTTCATTAAAAAAAATTAAAAAAAAAGACACTTATCAGTCTTTTTTATTTTATTTTTTGAAGAGGTATTTTTTATTCAAATGAATCAGCAATAAAAACTTTTACAGATTTAACAGTGAATGAACAATAAAGACTTTGATGAGTCAGATCCTCTGGACTGTATCCAAAACAAACAAAAAAAAAACTTCTTCAGACTGAAGAAGTCCTTTGGATAAAAGACGAAACGTTTCAACGAAGAAGAATCCGTCCAGAGGACCTGAGGATGAAGATCAGAGGAGATTAGGCTTTTTCAGTAGTGGGTCCTAAACTCTGGAACTGTCTGACTCCACCCCCCCACCCCCCCCCCCCCCAACATTTTTAAAT